AAACACCCAAGTAAATCGGTTATCTACACTCAGGCACTCAGATACCACAGAATAGATTCTGAGGAGTAAGTCCAGGGATACACCGTAGCACACTTAAAGCCGCCTTCACCAGCAAGGACACTCCACCAGAGAAGTATATCACATCACGGAACAGGCCACCCAAATACCTTGAGAGAACCTGCTTTAATACGGAAATAAAACCCTCTCCGACCATACACCCCTAGTTGTCACCTGCTACCCGACACTGGAACCCATATGGGGTGTCATTAAACAATTACAAACCCATACTAGACAGGGACCACATCCTGAATGAAATCATTCCCGAACTCCTAATTCTGGCCTTCAAACAACCCCCCAACCTCATCATCAGAAGCAAGCTCCCCACAGACCAGGATCCACCAATTCAAAGCAGCACCAGACTTATGTACATGTCTCCACTGCTACAATGATCAATTCCACCCCACCCAACACATTTTTCAACATCCATGGGTCCTAAATAGTACTATCACAACTTGTGGTGTACCTTATCCAGTGCACTAAATGCCCCAACAACTATTATGTGGGTGAAACCAGACAATCACTATGCACTCGAATGAACTCACACAGGAAAGTGATAAAAGACTACTGTGTTAACTACTTATGTTAAACAATCTGTTCCCCCCTATATTTAGCTGTGACAAATTTCCCAGACCTGAAGAAAAGCTATATGTAAGCTCGAAAGCTGGTCTCTCTCAGCAACAGAAATTTGTCCAATAAAAGATATTATCTCACCCACTTTGTCTCGCCAATATCCTGGGACCAACACAGCTACAACAACCCAGTATATTTTAAAAAGGTTCACAGTTAAGGCCTTTTTGAGCCAAACCGTAATAGTTTTGGGGATATCTCTTTGTAAATCAAAAACCCAGACAGATATAGCAACCATTTCAATTGATGATTTACAATCACTATGGCAATGCATCAGCTTGTCTGGTCTATGTCCAGAAAAGACTGGACATAGAGTTTCCAAAACACAAGAACATTTCCAAAGACAAACAAAAAGTATCTCTAAGTAGAAGAAAGAGCTAATTACATGTATCTCTCATTTTAAAAAACCCAAGATCCTACATTCGGGGGGGGAGAGAAGAGAAATAGTTACTCACTGTGGGAGATTTCTCTTCCCCAGAGAGTACATGTAACAGCTGAGTAGCTAGCACTGTTTCAAAGCAATAAAAAGAGAACAGCATTGAAAAAAAACAACCTCTGGTCCTCACATAAAATTCACACAGAGAAGTCCGTATCAACTGAGGGAGCTAGCTGTGCTTTAAAATGAAGTATGTAATTCCAACACCATCCCCTGCTTCTTTTGCTCCGTCAGCCCAACGTAGGTCCTCTCACCAGACTAGTATTCAGATGACAATGGGGAACAAAACTGCCAACATCCTTTCATTCATTCCCCATCACACCGGCGAGCCGTGAAACACAAAAAGCACCACAACAAAATATAAAATCCCATATCGATCCCACAAACAGTTCTAGAAACTGTGTAGCGCAGATCTTTTTATTCAAAGACCCTCTTTTCATGTGACAAAGCCCTTGAAGAGAATGAAGCTTGTTCATATCTCATCCCTCAGTGAAACTGTTCCACCATTCCTACATATTATTAGAGATAGAAAAATTAAAGAAGTTGACATAGGCCTGGTCTACACTGGGAAATTAGTTTGGTATAACTACATCATTCAGGGGTGTGAAAAATGCACAACCCTGAGTGATGCAGTTAAACCAACCTGCCTCCTGATGTAGACAGAGCTAGGTAGATGGGGGAATTTGCCTGTTGACCTATCTACTGCCTCTCGGGGAGGTAGATTACCTACACTGACGGGAGAACCGCTGTAGTTGGCATAAGTAGCATCCTCACTGAAACAATAAAGCAGTGCCACTGGAGGTTTTTTTTGGAAGAGATAAGGATGCAAACTCTATCCTATAGCCAGAGTGGATGACATTCAGCACCCCCTTGTCTGTTGTTATTGCACTCCAACTGCTGAAAAAGGTGTGTGGGAGGTACTGAGCTTATTTCACAGTTCTCAAGCTCCCATCAAAAATAATGTCACGCCGGCGGCTGAGGTTGGGATGCAGAGCCTGTTGCGGGGTGTGTAGGGAAGCGGGACTTTTGAACCTTCTGTCTCTTACATGGTGGTTCATAGGGCCTCTGATGGAAAAACTGCTGAGCCATGGGCCTAGATCTGACTGGTGGGCAGTGAAACTTCCTCTTACGGGCAGGTGTGTATATGCCCAGGGAGCAGAAGGTGGCCCTGGAGTCCCTTCAGGGCATGGAGGGACTCATCCATCTCCTGGCTGAAGAGGTGTGATTCATTGATGGCTTGCTCAATGGTATTCTGGATCTCCCTAGGGAACCCTGACTCATGGAGCCATGACTCCCTGCACAGGACGATGGCGGGAGCCAGAGCTCTAGGGGAGGGATTAGTAGCATTGACTGCAGATTGGAGAATAGTCCTGACTGTCAGTTTGCCTTTGTCTATCAGAGCTTGAAAACAAGCTCTGTCCTGCTGCGGAAAGGCTATCAGTAAACTCTGCAAACTTGGCATAGTTCAGTAAATTGTATTTTATCTGTTAGCACTTGGTAATTGGCTATCCTGAACTGGAGTCTGGATGATGAGAAGACCTTTCTTCCCAACAGATCCAGGCATTTGCCCTCTATCACCGGAAGCAGACCAGGGATGTCACTGTCCAGCCCTTTCAGAAGTAGCATGGACCACCAGTGAGTTGGGAGCAGGGTGAGAACACAGAAATTCCTCTCCTTTGGCCAGCACGAAATAGAGCTTCTCCGCCCTTTTGCAGGTAGGAGCACAGATGGCAGAGGTGTGCCAGACTGTCCTAGTTGGCTCCAGTATGGCTTCATTAATGCAGAAAGCTATTCTGTTGGGTCCAGATGCATGGAGGATGTCTAAAAGTTTGTGCTAGGAGTCCTGGATCTCCTCGAGAAAGGAATCTGAAGCTATCCAACAATGCTGTGAAGAAGTTCCTGGAACTGCCTAAAGTAATCGGGGGGGGGGGGAGGGTTAAAGAGGGGAGGGGAAGGTGGGGCTGGAGGAGACATAGGAGTCAATGCTTCATCTGGGGAAGACAATGGCAGTCTTGCTGGTTCCAGCTGAACCACTGGATCTGAAGAGTAATGTTCCTCCTCCTCCGGCAGATCCAGGGGCAGATCTGAGCATCCCCTTAGAGGGGAGACAATTGGTGACTCCCTGGTATATCAGATCAACTTTGCAGGAGAGTACAGGTCCCAAGACTCCCAATACAGCTGGTAGGAAGAATTAATAGGTGGTCGTGGGGGCCCCCACAGCATGTAGGGTGACCAGATGTCCCGATTTTATAGGGACAGTTCCAATATTTGGGGCTTTTTTTAATATGGGCTCCTATTACCCCCCACCCCCGTCCCGATTTTTCACACTTGCTATCTGGTCACCCTAACAGCATGGGGTACCAGCGCCTCCGAGACAGATGATGCAAGGTTGATCCCAAATTGGTGCAGGTCTCCTGGGTGGTGGTGGACATGTAGGGTAGGGGAAGAAAGGTTCATCAAGTGGTTCAGACTCTCTCAATGGAGAGAAGCCTGATTCTCGTTCCAGTAGGGGTATCATCAGTGCCATTGGAGGGGAGATGTATTCTAAGTATGGGATGGGTGATAAACTCCTTCCAGTGGTCAAGAGGCTCGATGGAGGAGGGGATTCCAGATCCAGCTGTGGCCACCTTACCGCTGTCCGTGCCGTGCCCTCTTGGCCCCCTCTACCCAGAGCTGCAGCCCCGCTCCCGGCTCTGGGGGCGGGAGGGAGGGAGCGAGCGCAGACCGGTAAGGGAGGGGCACGACTCTCAAAAGTTTGGGGACTGCTGTCCTAGATCTATACATTTACTTTTAGCCATATTAAAACACATATTGTTTGCCTGTGCCCTGCTTACAAAGCAATCCAGATTGCTCTGTATCAGTGTCATGTTCACTTCATTATTTACCACTCCCTCATTTTGTGTGTCATCTTACAACTTTATTACTGATGATTTCATGTTCTCTTCCAGGTCATTGATAAAAATGTTAAATAGCATAGAGCCAAGAACTGATCCCTGCAGGACCTCACTAGAAACATACCCACTCAACGAGGATTCTGTTTACAATTATATTTTGAGACCTATCAGTTAGCCAGTTTTTAATCCATTTAATGCGTGTGTGATATTAATTTTATGCCTTTCTAGCTTTTTAATCAAAATGTGTGCTGCATCAAATCAAATACCTTATAGCGTTGATGTAATATACTTAGATTTCTATTACTTTTATCAACTAAACTTGGAATCTCATTAAAAAAAAATGATACCAAGTTAGTTTGACACAATCTATTTTCCATAAACTCATGTTAAACAGTATTAATTACATTACCCTCCTTTAATTCTTTATTAACTGAGTCCCACATCAGCTGCTCCATTATCTTGCCCAGAATCAGTCAGACTGACAGGCCTATAATTCCCACATCATCCTGTTTACCCTTTTTTAATATTGGCACAGCATTAGCCTTCTTCCAGTCCTCTGGAACGTACCCGGTGTTCCAAGTTTTATTGAAAATCAACATCAATTGTCCAGAGAGCACCTAAGCCAACTCTTTTAAAACTCTTGGATGCAAGTTCTCTGGACCTGCTGATGTAAAAGTGTAGACATTTAGTAGCTGCTCTTTGACATCCTCCAGAGTTACTACAGGAATGGAAAAGTATCATCACATGATAGGAAACTTTACTAGTTTGTATTACCTTGTTTCAATATGGTTGTATTAAACACTCTATCAATTGAATTAACACAAAGCAGATTTCTTTATACATTCTATTAACAGCCAACATTTTTGATCCACCCAAATGAATCATGACAGTCAACCCATATGGAGCAAAAATTTACCAAACTGGAATGTGGAAATACTTAACTGTGAGATGTAATAGTAATAAATAATGAATAACTTTCTTACCACAGAGCAAGTCTCTGCTCAATTTCCTTTAGAAAAGTGGTGTGAAATTTGTGCAAAGGTTCAAAGTTGGAGAAGAGGAAATTCTTCAGTGTTTCTGGCATATAGTCATCTTTACTCACTGTGCTCTGAAACCACTGGAAGGAAAGAACAAAGTGATAAAGGGGAAGGCTGGGGGCAGGGCCTGTCATTTATTCTATCTTTGTGCAGTTACCTACAACCCTGGCTGGCCTCTAGACTACAGTATGGCTCAGATTTAGGACAACATTTAAGAAACTACTTAAATCCCATTGAAGTTGATGAGACTTAAGCGCATGCTTTTGAATTGGGCCCTATAAATGTAATAATAACAACAGTAGTGAAAGGGGTTATTTACTTCCTTACAGTTAATCCACCAATTCAAGGTATATACAGAATACATTTACTGCAGTGATACTGTATCCTGAGGTCACAGTTCTATTTCCTTTCTATATTTGTCATGAAATGTGATGTCCCAAGATAAATATAGAAAAGTACCCTGCACTACTGAATTAATTTAGCAGGTAATTCAGTTACTGTGGATTCATTTACTTAATTGTACTGAAGTAGGAAACTTAATTCCAACCACTTAAACTAGTTATTAAAATGTGAAAGTAGCTACTGCAAGTGGCTCTTATAACCGGGTTTGCTGTGGCTCAGATTTTCAAAATTTGGCCTCTGACTTAGAATGTTTGACTGTAGTCTGATTACCTATTGGTCCAAATTCAACAGAAGCCAAATCCAGCTCAGCACCTCTGAAGTTCAGGCCCTAGATCGGGGTGGCCAACCTGTGGCTCCGGAGCCACATGCGGCTATTCAGAAGTTAATATGCAACTCCTTGTATAGGCACCGACTCTGGGGCTAGAGCTACAGGCACCAACTTTCCAATGTGCCGGGGGGTGCTCACTGCTCAACCCCTGGCTCTGCCACAGGCCCTGCCCCCAGTCCACCCCTTCCTGCCTCCTCCCCTGAGCCTGCTATGCCCTCACTCCTCCTCCTCCCACCCAGAGCCTCCTGCACGCCACGAAACAGCTGATGGGGAGGGAAGGGGAGGTGCTGATTGGCAGGGGTGCTGGTGGGTGGGAGACGCTGGGAGGAGCGGATGGGGGGAGCTAATGGGGGAGCTGCTGACATATTACCGTGGCTCTTTGGTAATGTACATTGGTAAATACTGGCTCCTTCTCAGGCTCAGGTTGGCCACCCCTGCCCTAGATAGATGAAGGTGGTCACTCAAAGTTAGAGAAAGTCCAGTTAAATGGAGGTCCAGAAGTTCAAGATCTATGCTGGTAAAAGCAGAGTATAAGTAGGTCAGGATCAAGCCCTACTGTTTAAATTTATAATGGGAACTTAGATCCACTGGGGTCAATTCTGCTTTGCCCCATTATCCCTTTATTCTGTGCTTGTGGTGTGAAGGGGCTATCAATGCAGCAATGTAAGAGGGGTTGCCTAGATGGCATAAAGCAGCCTACCCTGCTTGATGATCTCACTCCCTCCTCATAGTACCTACTGTGCTCTAGCTATTTTTGATAGACCTTCAGTGGTTCCTAGGGGCCGGTTGAAACTGCCTGTAAATTAGAGCAGCCTTGAAAACTGTACCAGTTTAAACTGGCCCAGGTCCCCTATACAGGGAGACACTTCGTCCTTCCCTCTCACCTACCCACACTCTGTTCCAGTACTGCACACAGTTCAGGTAGGACAGATAATTGGTGGCATTGTACATTTAAGGCACTTTTGTTACAGTCCCCCTAGAGGTCCATAAAGAACATTATTTAAGGGCAAGTCTTGCTTGCTATATTCATGGAAAACTCACACTGAAATTAATAGGCATTTTCTGTGTGCAAAGGAAGAGCAGGTTTTGTCTGAATGATTTATATAGGATTCTTATTCTGAGTATATGTTAGAAGATAACAGGCTGTTTGAAAATATTCTTTAGCTACTTATTGAAAAATCAGAACATTTCAAATACATGTTAAAACTTTTCTTAGACTGAACAGGTCTAACTGGTAGGGGAAGTAGAAGTGGGTGGCAACCTAGATAGCAGTGACCATGAGATGGTTGAGTTCAGGATCCTCACAAAAGGAAGAAAGGAGAGTAGCAAACTATGAGAACCCGGGGAACTACAGACTGGTCAGCCTCTCATCAGTCCATGGCAAAATCATGGAGCAGGTCCTCAAGGAATCTATTTTGAAGCACTTGGAGGAAAGGAAGGTGATCAGGAACAGTCAACATGGATTCACCAAGGGCAAGTCATGCCCGACCAACCTGATTGCCTTCTATGATGAGATAACTGGCTCTGTGGATATGGGGAAAGCAGTGGATGTAATATATCTTGACTTTAGCAAAGCTTTTGATACGGTCTCCCACAGTATTCTTGCTAGTAGGTTAAAAAAATATGGATTGGATGAATGGACTATAAGGTGGATAGAAAGCTGGCTAGATTGTTGGGCTCAACGGGTAGTGATCAATGGCTTGATGTCTAGTTGGCAGCTAGTATCAAGCAGAGTGCCCCAGAGTCGGTCCTGGGGCCTGTTTTGTTCAACATCTTTATTAATGATCTGGATGATGGGATGAACTGCACCCTCAGCAAGTTCGCAGATGACACTAAGCTGGGGGGAGAGGTAGATAAACTGGAGGGTAGGGATAGGGTCCAGAGTGACCTAGACAAATTGGAGGATTGGGCCAAAAGAAATCTGATGAGGTTCAACAAGGACAAGTGCAGAGTCCTGCACTTAGGAAGGAAGAATCCCATGCACTGCTACAGGCTGGGGACCGACTGGCTAAGCAGCAGTTCTGCAGAAAAGGACCTGGGGATTAGAGTGGACAAGAAGCTGGATACGAGCCAGCAGTGTGCCCTCGTTGCCAAGAAGGCCAATGGCATATTGGGCTGTATTAGTAGAAGCATTGCCAGCAAATTGAGGGAGGTGATTATTCCCCTCTATTCAGTACTGGCGAGGCCACACTTGGAGCATTGCATCCAGTTTTGGTCTCCCCACTACAAAAGGGATGTGGACAAATTGGAGAGAGTCCAGTGGAGGGCAATGAAAATGATTAGGGGGCTGGAGCACATGACTTATGAGGAGAGGCTGAGGGAACTGGGATTGTTTAGTCTGCAGAAGAGAAGAATGAGGGGGAATTTGATAGCAGCCTTCAACTACCTGAAGGGGGGTTCCAAAGAGGATGGAGCTAGGCCAGGGGTCGGCAACCTATGGCACGCGTGCCAAACACGACACGCAAGCCGATTCTGAGTGGCACACTGCTGCCCACTGAGAGAAGGAGGAGGAGAAGGAGGGGCCAGAATGCACCACGTTGTGTGAAGAAAGAGGGGATGGGGAGGCTTGGCTGCTGCAGGACCAAGCTTCCCGCCTCCCCCCTTTCTTCGCACAACGTGGTGCATTCTGGCCCCTCCTTCTCCTCCTCCTTCTCTCAGTGGGCAGCAGTGTGCCACTCAGAATCGGCTTGCGTGTCGTGTTTGGCACGCGTGCCA